TCACACACCGATGCATGGCATCGGGAGCAATTTGGGGTTCAGTATCTTGCTCAAGGATACTTTGACATGTGGCACCAGGAGCCTGGGATCGAACCAACAACCTTCCGATTAGGGGATGACCTGCTCTACCTCTGCGCCACAGCCGTTTAAAGAACTATGATAACTTGTTTTGCTATTTGCGTGTCTAGGGAAAGAGCAAAGCTCGTCGGGTGAAGACGATCTATGACTGCCAGGCTGACAATGATGACGAACTGACTTTTGCTGAAGGAGAGGTGATCATAGTTACAGGAGAAGAGGACCAGGAGTGGTGGGTGAGTCCAGCTTCACTACTACACCCTGCAGCCAGGAATCCATCTCAAACGCACAAAGAAACTCCAGCTAACACTGAATGCTACATTATGCTCTTTTTCTCACATGCTCTCTTTTGCCTCTTTTGCCTCTTTTATACTTCCAGATTGGGCACATTGAAGGAGATCCGGATAGAAAAGGGGTGTTCCCGATGTCTTTTGTCCACATCCTGAGTGACTGACAGCCAGAAAGACTTGCACTACGCCTCTCCCTAAACTGGGAGGTCCTGTAAATAGCTATCATAACACCCCTTGTCACACGACAAGTGTCCTAAAGAAAAAAAAAAACAACAACGAAGAAGAAGAAACCCAAGAAGGCTCATCTAGCCATGGATGCTATATCCATGCTGTACAAAGAATGTGTGTATTCTTCCTTTACCAGTATTATCTTAACCCTATAGCACGGCTGTGACAAAGCCACTCTCAGAACCCTAGCACTTACCTAAAGTCTATGTTTATGCTGTTACTGTGTATATATGTATGTAAATATATATATTTGTGTGTGAGTGTATATACATGTTTTATTGTACAAAACATGTACCATTGCTCTCTCTACCTGTCAGATTAAGCATCAGGGCGGTAGAGTTTGAATTTTATCTGTATTAATTTTACTGGCCCTCAAGTAATTATCAGCTTATATTTCTGGAAAAAGGACAAATAAGAAATGGAATGTGAAATAGGTCATGTCACTATTTGTCTTGCATCCCCTGTTTACCATAATTGACTGAAGAGGCAGGAGTCTCCCACTGATCTTCCCGAGATGAAAAGAATTTTCATTAAATGTACTCCTTGTTCTTGCTTGCTTTGTGTGTACACGTATTATGGTTGTTTTACAGTATAGAAACCTGCTGCTACTGTGTGGTGGAATATCAAAGCCTGTGGTTCACTGTAGGTCACTAATTTACTCCTTGTTACACTGTTCACTGTATGTATGCTCTGTGTGTGAACTCAACACCATCTCCACAGTCCTTTGACCTTTTCTGTGCATGGTGTAACAATGACTGGAATTGAGTGGAGTGCTGCATTCAAAGACGCTCACCTCAGGGTTTGAAGAGCCACTATTAATCGAGCAGGACTACAAAAAAAGGGTATCCTGTTGTTAAAGCCACTATTAATGACAAGTACGGGGAAACTCAAGAGGACATCTTAGCAATAACTTGATTTTGTGACAGGCTAGAAGTTTCACATTAACCTGTGTTCACGATTCAGTGTCTTGTAAAACCTCATGAGCTTGAAATTTTTAAGTTTAGGTTATGTAATATCATTCCATGTTACTGGATTCAGTACATTTCCAGGTTTGCCTGTGAGCCAGAGATGTCTTTTAGAAGTGGACTTTGTAAAAAGGCTGGAGAGCCAATGTATTTTCACCCAGTCCTCACTGACTTGCAGTTCTTTCCATGTTAAGGAACAAACCCATCAACCCATTGTATCATTAAAAGTGCTGTACTTCAACACAGTGAGCCTGCTCTTTTGTTTTATGGCAGTTATGACATGTGGTTTCCAGATCTGTTTGTGCCTCCCCTTTGAATTTCGAAAGCTCTGGCATTAGAGGGGAAAGTACACGTCTAAGCAGCTTATTGTAGTAAGTACTGTTAGCCTCTAGATCAAGGAATAGTAAACGCTTTGAGAAATGTGTTTATTCGCATTCTGGAGGAGAATCAGGAAAGATCAATACCACTCTCATGTCTGTTTATTTTAATATAACCAAAGACAAGCAGTGGTGGATCATAAATCAGTTTACAATGTTGTGGTACTTGTGTTTATTATGTGCCACTTAAAGGGAAAAATTTTACTTTATAGTCCAGTTATTTTACAGCCAGTTACTGGTTACTTTTTTCAGATTAAGTTTTTACATATAAATTATTATATCAACTATACATTGATACCAATTATCAACACTAGCAAGGGTATAATATTTTCCTTTCTATACTGTGCACATTTTCCTGCTAATAGCCTACTTACCAAATACCTTTGAGTAAAATATTGAATGCAGGACTTTCACTGCAATAGGGAAGGTTGGTTTCAGAGTGTGGTACTGCCCCTTAACTCAAGTTATTTGAATACTTTCACCACTGCAAATCTATCAGTTTAATATAGATTAGCTCAGGCTACAAAACAGCTTAACACAAAATGAAAAAAGGGAAACACAAGCCTCACTGTGCCTCAATAGTCAAACAGTACATCTAAAAGCTTATTCATCATCATTTAACACACAAACCCAAATTGTAAAAACAAATAACTTGCTGAAGTCTTTGCATATTGCTCAGAACCAAAAAATTAATTTCCCAAACTGTTAAAACTGTTCCTACAAGAGGGACAAACTATCGAGGGCTTAACATTTGGTTTTCCAAAATTCATTCAAGTGTGTAACCACAAACTGCAGTTCAAGAACACTTAAGACAAACTTTCAGGACAAAGTTATTCTCCAAGTAATTATTTATTTTGTTATCTCAACAACTCACATTTTAACCAAAGTTCACCATCCATTCTACGGCTTCTTTTGGATTTAATATTAACACAGGAATAATTACTTTTAAGACAACATAAATACTTTGTGTCACAACACAAAAAATGTAATCTAAATAAAAAACTGTTCAAAGTCATACCAGAATCCTGGTAAACAAAAATTTATTTACACACTTGGGCTTTAAGTTTTGACCCTTGGTCCTTCTCCACCGACTTGATGACGCCTACAGCGACCGTCTGCTTCAGGTCTCTCGCTGCAAAGCGTCCTGGGGAAGCAAAACAAATCTAACTGTAAAACACTGCAGAGGTCAACAGGGGTGAGATTTCTTCTATCTGGAGAAATTTTGACTTATGTCAATTGAGGACGTACCTAAGGCAGGGTATGTGAAGAAGCTCTCCACACACATGGGCTTGATGGGAATCAGTTTGACTGTTGCAGCGTCTCCAGAGATCAGCATCTGCGGCTGGTCCTCCAGTTTATTGCCTGTGCGGCGGTCAAGCTTCTCCCTCAGCTCAGCAAAGCGACAGGTCACGTGGGCAGTGTGGCAGTCCAGGACAGGAGAGTAGCCCGCTTTGACCTTTCCTGGATGGTTCAAGATGATCAACTAAAGAAAAACAGGAAGAACCTCATCAAGACAGGGGAAAGACAATTTTAGATTCAAGTTTTAACTCCATTGAACCGACCTGAGCTTCAAAGCTGCTGACCTCTGACGGAGGATCCTGCTGGGCGTTGCCGGCCACATCCCCACGCCGCAGGTTCTTGACAGCCACGTTCTTAATGTTGAAGCCAACATTGTGTCCTGGCAGAGCGGCCTGCAGCCCCTGGTGGTGCATCTCAATGGACTTCACCTCAGCAGTGAGCTTGGCAGGGGAGAACATCAGGGTCATGCCAGGTTTGAGGATGCCAGTTTCAATCTTGCCCACTGGCACGGTCCCAACTCCTGAAAAAGCAGAACAAAGCCCATTTTAACCCATCATCCAACAAGCATTGCAACATTGCTGTGCTTCCCCCAACTCTAATCCCGCTGCTGCACACCTGTACCTCATTCTCTTGACTGGAGCTAATTAAGTCTACAGGCTTGCAAACAGACTTTAAAAGTTTGGACGCCATTTCTAACCTCCAATTTTGTAGACATCCTGCAGAGGTAATCGTAGTGGCTTGTTGATTGTTCGCACCGGTGGCTGAATGGAGTCCAGGACTTCCAGTAGAGTTCTCCCGCTTGCATTTCCTTCCCGTCGTCTGGCTTTCCAGCCTTGGAACCAGGGCATCTGTAGAAAAACATTGTTTGTACAAGGTGTTGCACATCCTCAGATACTCTTAACTCTAAAAATCCTCTTTACCTTCTGAGTTGCAGTTATCATGTTCTCCCCGGTCCAGCCTGAAATTGGAACAAAGGGGACAGACGTTGGGTCGTAGCCAATCTTCTTGAGGAAGCCACTCACGCCTCGCCCCACTTCGTCAAAGCGTTTCTGGCTGTAAGGTGGTTCAGTCAGATCCATCTTGTTCACACAGACTATGATCTGCTTCACACCCAGAGTGTAGGCCAGTAAGGCGTGCTCTCTGGTTTGGCCGCTTCTCGACACACCAGCCTCGTACTCTCCTTTAGCTGCAGAGACCACCAGGAGGGCAACATCAGCCTGAAATGAGATTGTTAAGTGAAACCAAAGGAACTTAGGCACACAGAAAGTGATGCACCTCTGTGCTGCTCACCTGTGAAGTCCCGGTTATCATGTTTTTAATGAAGTCACGGTGGCCAGGAGCGTCAATTATAGTCATGGTGTATTTTTGAGTGTTAAATTTCAGCAGCGAGATGTCGATGGTGATTCCTCGCTCCCGCTCAGCCTTCAGCTTGTCCAACACCCAGGCAAATTTGAAGGAACTCTTCCCCATCTAGTGCAAACAAAATATATTAATACAGGTTTTTTAACAAGTGTTTTTAAAAAGCAGGTTTTTCCTTCCTTACCTGGGCTGCAGCTTTCTCAAACTTCTCCAGTCTCCTCTGATCGATGCCACCACACTTGTAGACCAGGTGGCCGGTGGTGGTTGACTTACCACTGTCAACATGACCAATAATCACCACATTAACATGAGTCTTCTCCTTTCCCATGGTTGAAGGCGGGTTTGCTGACCAAACACGTTAACTATAGGCGTCTGAGATGAAATAACCACGTTCACTCTTTCGATTCTTCTTCCTAATGGATGTGAGCAGCCTCTTTCCAGTGACTTTATAAGCTCCACTTGGCCACCTAAGTGAAATCAGGTGTGCTGCTTAATTAAGCAATTGGTGTCTGTTTGGTGAAACCAGAACTTTCCTGAACATTTGACACGGATAAATAGCAAAGTAGCTTGGACAAGAGGAAAATTAAATACTGGAAAGCTAAAATAATTCCTCAAAAATGTAATTTTATTTGGGGGGGAGCAGCAGTTAGGAGGATTAAACAAATGGCACAAATGTCTCAGCTTAATCTTTGTGTGGAGCAACAGGCAGTTACGGTCAGTTGTCCTTTAAAGACTGTGGATCGCCTACAGATCTCAAATTACAACCAGCTGTTTCATTTGGTAGTCTTTGAAGAGCCTTGATAACTTAACTCTTCCAATATATCAAAGAAATTATTACAAAAGAAAGACAACTGGCAATAAACAGATTTTTTTAATATCTAGGAGACTAATTGTATAAGTTTAAATGTGTTCCTGTGCCTGAAAATTAGATGCAAAACAGACAAAAACCTTCTTTTTTATAAGTTGAATCCACTTGTAGTTACTGTTGAAAAGCGACAATTTATGTTTTTGCTGCAGGAGAATTTAGGTTTAACGAAAAGATCCATATATCCACATATAACATCTGTACCGATGCACTGCAGTTGACTTAAAGCCATTTCAAATGACAATGTATATTTAATATCATAAGCTATACACAACAATATACACATACGGGTTTACATATATATGTATATATACAGCATAGTCCGATTTTATTGTGGCATGACTGTGAATTCCCCTTAAACCTAAAAGCATTGCTTTCACAGGGGGAAAATGCCCACTAATAAAAGCCTCATTTAATCTTCTTACAACATCAGAAATTCCAAGCCTGTTGATAAATTTAAGTCCTACTTTAAGTGAACAAGTGAAAAGTGAACAAGTGAAAAAAGAAAAACAAACCAGTGTTTACGAATTGTAACTGTTATATTACTTTATGTCACAAGGATGAATAGATTTATTGTTCCTATCATGCTTTTAGTGATATTAAAGCGAAAGCAAACACCACTTGCACGAGCCCTGTGCAGCAGCAAACCTACTCTGCTGCTGTATTATACACAGTGTTGGTGTAGTAGTTCATTAATAATATTACAGAAATAATATTATTTTTCCCAGTAACTAGTAGTGTAACTAATAACTAATACATTCTAGTAATAATATTACTTTTGTTGGCACCCTCTTCTGACTTGGAAAAGTAGCAGAAAGCACTACAACTAGTAGTGTAACTAATTACCGTTAGCATGGAGTAATAAGTAAAGTAATAATATTACTTTTTAAAAGAGTAACTACCCCAACATTGATTATAAATATGTTTTAAGGGCTTTTTGGAGCTCTGTTAGTGTGCTCAGGTTGCTGTGAAACCTCACACACACACAGGGAATCAAAATCTTTTTTGGTAGTTGCTAGGCAACTAAAAATGATATCCTAATTGGCATTAAACCTAATAAACCCATTTTAATGTTTTACCCTTTGTTTCTTCCACAGTAATAAACAAGACTTTTTATTTAGTGCTCATGTAGGTTAAACACAGTCCCAACCTGGAGTCACCGAAGCTTCATATGGATGGGTCGCGTCTTAATTTGTGTAAGAAAACATTAAAAATACACACGTAAATGAAAATAAAAATAAGTAAACTGTCTAATAGAAGTGGTCAAGCGCCAGGAGCATGAAAACACTATACATTTGTCATAAAATAGGCATATTATATGTGTATAATTGTTTA